CTTCCCCTTCCCCTTCCCCTTCCCGCTAGTCTGTCTTCCAGCCATTTTTCTCTGATTAACTTTTTTTGTGTTTCCCCTTTCCTGAAATCATCTTTGAGAGGTGATCCATGTGACAAGGAGCATTTAACTGGCACAGTCAGCCAGCGGGACGTGTGTGTGGACAGCCTGTGTCCCAAATCATGCTCCTGCCTTGTAAGGGAACTGCCTGGCTTCAAGAAAACATTGATGTTTTTCATTACCTTATGTTATTTCAGTATTTGTGTTAAAGTGAGGGTGTTGGTAAATCGTCATTAGGCTCAATAGCATAGTTATTCACACCTTTGTGGTAGGTATTTGGTAACTGGCTATACATATTTTTTTTTTCCTTGGGATTCCTGATGTTTCTGACAGGAATCCACTTACATATACATGCACAACCATAGGCCTGCACAGGTGGATTTTCACACATGCGTGCACGCACACATACTAAGGCTTTGTTAATTGATATTAACTCTCATTTTTTTTAATTACAAGACATATTTCTCTATTGATCTATTCGCTCTGCTTTCTTTTAGCTTCATCTAATGCACTGGAACTCCACACTGTACAGCAGCATTGATGAGGCAGTAGGGAAGAAGCACGGCATAGCTATTATTGCTTTGTTTGTGCAGGTAAGTTTCTTGTGTTGCACTTGTTACCATGTACTACCATTGTCCGAGGAAAATTAGTTCCTTTCCATTTTCTTTAATTTTTAATGATTCCGTAAAATAAAATAACCTATGACTGCTGTTATTCTATTCAAGGGGTACTTTCTGTCATATCTCCTGTGTATGTACTAAATAAGTAATTGTTGTTTAAATGGGATATTTGAAGTGTGTTAGTTAAAAAAGGGATAATAAATAGTCGTCCATCTCTCTCTGACTCTGGCTATAAGCAGACATCCATTCTCCGTTCCTGTGAGGGCAGAAGGAGGGCTATCAGGAGGGGCAAGTGCTTCACTGTCTTTATAATCTGCTTCTCTTCATTTCTGGCCAGGTCTACTGTCCAGGGATTGAGGGAATAGGCAGAGGGGAGGAGGGAAGAGGAAAGAAAAGCCTATTATCTCGTTGACACAGCCAAAAACTAGTAGTAGGAGTCTAGCCACAGACCTTCAGAGAAGCCTGGAATGAGGAGGCTTAAAGCTTCCTGGGGAGAAGGTGTAATGCCACCTGGGAAGTTAGCCTTATAATCTAATTGCTGTTGAAGGTTTTTCAAGGAAGGCCTGCAGTCTGTAAAGAAGATTTTCAGTTTTAGTCCTCAAACACCAGATTCTCGTCCTCCTCATGAGAAATGGTGAACTATTTCATTTAGATGGATCTGGAGGAAAAGGATTAGAGTTCGTGCTGAGATCAAATGGATTTTCTTTCAGAGTGATGTTATTAATTTGTCGTATTTCATAACGAGTTTATAAGTGCCTTTGAGCTTTACCTCTGCGTGAATTTAAAGATACGTTGCTTACAGCTCCAACACTCAGAACTGCTAAAAATGGAAGTTAGAAAGTCTTTAGTTTTGTATCCTAGAGGGCTGTGTGATAATTGCTTATATAAGTCACCTTCTAATTCCAGCAGAGGTAACCTTGAAGTTAGTTAGAAAGTTACGTATAAGTTCTTAAATAAATCTGAAATTGCAGTGATACATTTTACATTTCTGGCCTCTGAACTTCATTAGAGTTCTTAAGCATTCCAAAGGGCTTCTTCATTAGGCACCTTATAATTGCAATGGACCAAGGAAAAACAGTATTTATGCTGTTTGTTAAAGGAACAGGGGGAGGAAATTCAGTGGCCAATTTTTCCTGGTAAAGGCATGGAAATTTAACAGTTTTGCACCACAGTTCTCAAACACATCATTTTAAGGTCAGTGGAAAAATTTGCACTGATTTAAGCGACAAATAATCACGCATGGTGATTATTATTTTAGAAACAATGTCTTTGAAGTGATTTTAATATCTTTGAAGGTTTTAAATGGATATCCACCCTGAAACAAAATAAAATTCCTAGAAATAACATGGTACCTTTTGTTGACATGCAGTTGCTTCGTTCTACTGACTACTGTGCTATTCTATTTCAAGAGAAGCAAAAAAGAGACAAATTTTTCAGGGTCTAGCTCTCCTGTTCTCACTCATGCCTGCTTCATTCCTCACCTCGTATGTGTACATGATGGCAAAGAAATCAAGTGGAAGAACATTCTGAGTCTTCTCCCTATTTTGACAATGCTGTTCAGAAGGTAAAAACTAGGGTCCTAGAATGTGTGTTTTAGATCAGAAGTAGCTGAAATCAGTGTGCAGAGGGAACAGTGTTCATGGAAAATGACAAGTCTGTTATTTCAACCATGGGTTTCTTCTGAAAGCCCCATCTTCTGTGCCTTAAAGATGTTGGGTAAAGGCAGCACTGCAGGCTGCCAGGAGGCCAGCAATTGCCGTCAGGATCCCAGGGATGCCATGAGGGAGGGGTTCTCACATTCTGTGCTCTGCAGGCAGGAGAAAACTCCCCCGAGCTTCAGAGATACCTTGGGCCAAATTTGCAATGCTGTGAGAACAAACTCAAAACGTGTCTGTCATGCTTGTTCGCCCTGTTCTTTTCTGTGTACTTTTCTGAAGAAATCTGCTAAGGACAAACTATTCTTGGCATTTACATGTCATAATGCTGTATGATTTTGCCTCCACATGTAATATATTTAGTTATAGCAATATATATTAGTGCTGCAGAACAGGGTTAGTCAAATCTTATCAGACTTAACTGTCTTTTTCTCTTGTTCTATGAGTTTCTGTCTCCGTTTTGAAGTTATTTACACCTCGTTACTTTTGACTGGTGACTTTATGGTGGTTTAGTTGTTTGGGGTTGTCGTGTGTCTGTGTACTTTGTTAACACAAGATTGTGTAGCTTAACCAAAAACAACTACAGAACTTACTGTTTTCTTGACCTTTGCCTTGCCTCACAGTTTCTAAAATAGAAAAATACTGTAACTAATCTCCACTTGCTGTATTTCAGATAGGAAAAGAACATGTAGGCCTAAAGGCTGTAACTGAAATTCTCCAGGACATCCAGTACAAGGTAAGGCATTGTCTGAAGAAATGCTTCCTTCACTGACCAGAGAGAGAGAGCTAAGTGAGCGAAGATTTTGTAGGAAGCCAAGAGAAGGGTTTCAGTTGTGTCTGTAGCAAAACCATCTGTGAAAATCATCATTTGGAGGCCTGCATCAGAACACTTATCATTTGACAGTATTCAGATGATATACAGTCTTTGTAGTTACTTTCTTTTCTGATGGCCAGAAGGTTTGATCTCCTGTACTAGTAACTGGCTGCAAATACTACCTTCTCAGTTATTATCACAGTCAGTGTGAATGTGGGCATTGCAACTTGCTTAGTGAACACCAGCAGCACTATCTCCAGGCTTACCTGATTTTAATTTGTGGAGAAAAAGAATAGATGAACTGAGCACCCCATTGCAGTGGGAAATCAACAAAAACACAATACTGTCTTGTTGGGTGGATTATGTGTGGGAATCCTAAAGGAAGAGTAATAAGCCTAACAGGACTGAGGAGATATAAGTGCTCTCCGAAATGTTGATGCTGTCTTAAATGACGTTGGAGAAGTTCCTTCCATCTTTCTGCTTCATGGTTTCTGTCTGTAACATAGAAATAATCATACCTACCTTTGATTTTAAAGGATTTTGAGATGTATTAATAAGATATTCTGTAATGATCTGAAGAGACAAGCTATTTGCTTCAGTGGATGTGCAAGTGTAAAAACATTAGAAGCTGTTATTAGTAGGGAATCAGAACTCTTCTTTCAGTCAAATAATATACATTAAATTTCTGTCTGATGTTTAGTGTTGCAAACTCCTTGTTTATGAAGGTGTCAGAGGAAACAATAGCATATGGAACTCTGTAGTTTTATTACTGAAAGGACAGCCAAGTAAAGGAAGGTAGTGAAAGGTCATGTGAGCATGTTACACTATCAACTTTCAGGGTGTCAGCATGATACTCTTGGCATACGTAAAATTTTCATGAATTAAATATGTGGAACCAGCTTTATTTTATTGTTATCTGCATGGTTAAGGAAAAGCTCATGCTGGCCATTGTTTTATAATATCATTTTGTGTGGAATGCTTGAATTTCATGTAGAGAATTTCAAGGTTGGACCTGGAAGGAGCCCAGTTACTAAAGGCAGAAAGTTAACAAATTACTGAGATAACCTTAGAAGTTAAATATAAAATAGAATAAAAAATATTTGTGTAGCTGCAAGGACAAATGGAATGATGATTAAATGGGGGCTATTAATGAGGTTGCTTTGCACAGGAATTCGAGGCTTAATGTTATGAGAACACGCAGTGTGTTTTACCTCTCCATTCATCATCATTTTAATAAGAAACTAGAGATGAGATTGATTTGTATTCATTTTTTCAGGGAAAGTCCAAAACAATACCCTGTTTTAATCCCAACTCTTTATTGCCAGGTAGGTGCCTTTGCTTCCTTTTGTGTGTGTATTACTAGCTTATTGCAGAGGCCGAGACAATCTTGATCTAAAGCAGAGTCTAATTGCAAGCCTCAGAGTCTGTCCCATAAGGTCATAATACATTTTGCACCAGTTGGTGCTAACGTGGATAGGGATGAAGTCCGTTTGGAAATTATGATAAATCCTTGTCATCGTGTGAGAGGGATGTGATACTGTAGTCCGTGCACTGCTGGCAACACTGTGGCTAGATTTCTTGATGATTTATCATCCAACCTAGAACGGGACCTTTGTGTACTCCTTTCTTGACTTTGGCATAAAATAGGAAGCGTAAAATTGCCCAGTTACCAAGGTAGCTTTTTTGGCAGCATCAGAAGTCTATGCCATAATGCAATGACAGTTGTGTAGCATACTAGCAGTAGTGACAACGTAGTAACAGTAAGAAACAACCACTCCTCTGCCTTGTATTGAAAAAAAAACGGTGACTTTTAAAAAATACGTTTCTATGAGAAAAATGTTTCTGCAAGGAATCCTTCTGAGCTGAATTCTGTGTCATAGTGGCATGATCTTTAATTTCTCAAAGTAATCCAGGTCTACATTAAACTGTATTAATTACATCCAACGAATATTGTTTAGGTTGCAACGTCAAGTGCTCAGCAATTAGGAATTGCAGGAATTAAGGCTACCTGTGCCCCTTCATGCATATGCATTATAAAACAGCTTTTAATGGTGTGACCCTGAGTTATTTTTTACAGGACCCCTGTATCACAGTTCCTGTTTGATACTGATCAAGTCACATATACCAAAATTTTCGTAAGTCATCTCTAACTATGTGTTCCTCATTTTCTAGGTGTCCGACTTGAGATCATGGGGTCTGATTTGCAGAAGTGCTGAGTGCTTACACCTCCAGCTGAAGTCAATGGGAGCAGTACTCTGACTGCATTAAGTGCTATAGAAAGTTAACTACTCTGAGAAATCAGGTTCTAAGCATCACCTCAGATGAATAGATGCATTCGATCTCAACTTACCTGTGCCTTGGTTGCCCAGCTTTAAAGTATGGGGGTAGCCTATCCTTCCTCACCACGCTGGGGCATGCTGGGGTGAATTAGTTCATGTTCGTGAAACACTCAGACACTGAAGAAATGAGTGCATTAGAAATATAAAAAATGAGAAAATGTAGTACGTGCAACAAGCAGGATTTGGATACCATGGGAAAAAGAAGACCATGGACCACAGATTGTACTGAGAAATCCAAATGTTACTGGATGCTTGCATCTTTGCAAGTAAATGATGAAGGGTTCTCTAGAAAAGATGTGTGTGATCGCGTAACAAGGTGGTGTCACAATGCATGCACAGGATGGGCTGAATTAATTCTTGCACTTCTTAACTTTTGAGTGCTTGATAATGCAACTTGCTTCCAGTGGATTTACTATGTAATTCCCTAACTGAGAAAGAAAATTGCACCAACAAAACAAGGTCCACTCACTGACAATCACAGGCTTCATTAGCAAGATTTAATTCTATTGATACTCCTCTGAGCTAGGAGTGAAATGGCAGTAATAGATTAGGTCAACCAAGCAAGTTTATTCATTTCCAGTCTCTCATTCTGTCCTTGTCAAGCTAGTCACAACCTTTCCCCTAGCTCTCCGTGCCATGATTAACCACCCTTTGTCTCCAGTTCTCTTTAGGTTTGTTTCCTGTCCTCTCTTTTACAGTTAGGCAATTTCTTCTCTGTACCTATTAAACTGTGTCGGGGAATAATTTGTGAGTAAGGCCGACAGAAGCAAAGGAAAGCCCTGTGTAGCCTCGCTTTACGAAGTGCAGTGTGACTGGAATCTTTGAGGGATTAAAATAATTAAAATCAATCGTGTTGTATATAGAGTTAAAACTCTGCTTGGACAAAACTTTGTACATTTTCTTGAGAGACAACTGTTTATTCTAACAGTTATTTATAAATCTATTAATAAGTTTATAAATTTATAAAAATATGTTTATTCTTAAATAAACCTTGATGTTTTTCCCCTGTGAAACCAACTCACTTTTCCAAAGCTAGGAGGCACCAGCGCATCTCAGAAAATATGTCACCAGAATTCTGAACTGAAAAGTTTGACTTGAGCTATTTTCACTGAATTTTTCTGAAAAAAAGAAGTAAATTCATCCTTGAGACAGAAGTCAGTTAAAATGTAATCACCACAGCCACTCTGCCTTCAAAATGAGATGTCTCTTGTAGCATTTCACACTAGCAGGAGCTCTTTCCTGCCATATTATTTATTTGCTGAGTTAGTTTGTGCACAAGGAGTTGTGCATGTGTTATATTTCACGTCTATAAAGTGGCATTTTCATCTTTAAAATACTCATCTGCAGGGGAAAGTTACTTTAATTTAGTCATCACAAGCTTATGTACATTGACATGAGAAAGTGTTGGAAAGTGCTTGGCAGATTATAAACTCACACCTTAGCTTACAGCGCACTAACTTCGTCATACGAGCAAGCCCATGGCCATCACAAGATGTCATAATTGAAAGACGCAATTATCTTCCTTAATGCCATTAAAATTCCACATTTCTTCTCATTTCAGATCCTCTTCTGCGTGACTACTGGGTGTATGAGGGCTCTCTAACCATTCCACCCTGCAGTGAAGGTGTCACCTGGATATTATTTCGCTATCCTTTGACTGTGTCCCAAGTGCAGGTAACAGCTGTGACCTTGGAATATGGGAATGAGTTAAAGGTTATAGCGTGCAAATATATATATCAGGACATTATATCTGTTCTCCTTAAAGATCCCATTAGATCAGTACATGGCTTTTCAAGTAAAGGTTAAGCCTTTTGAGTCACTGAAAGCAATGCAAAGGTCAGAGATGAAAAACCTTGTTATCATTTGTCATCTGCATTTAAAATAATTCTTTATTTAAGTGAAAGAAAAAGAAAGAAGTCAATGGGCAAAAGAAATGCAATTCTTTGTAATTGTAAGCTTTCAAATATCACTGCTTTTTGATGTTAAAGGAACAAAAAAGCACAGGAAGACACAATGTCCTGGAGAATGAAAAATGTTACCATAGTACAAGCTAGCTATACTGCATTGAACTATATTCAACTTATCTTGCTCTTTTTTAATTCTGTTTTATAATAAATGTCAAATGGAAACTACCTATTTAAATTTAACTTCACATGTATGTGTTTTAAAGTGGGTGGTGGTTTTTTTTAGTTCATATTTAACAGTCATGTGAGCCTTACTGTAGAAAACATTTCAAATCTGACTACAAATAATCCCACTTAAAACAAGGAAAATTCCTGAGGAATATTCTCCCACAGTCTGCAAATCCCAGCTGGAGGAATGTAGTTTTAACTGAAGTGAAACTGCTGGTTAGCTCAGTGGTTTGAGTGCGGTGCTGACAGCAAGGACCAACACTGAGGTCATGGGTTCAATTCCTGCTTGGTCCCCATGTGTTGCCTGGTCTAGTTGAGAGGTGGTGTCCCTGCCCAAAACAGGGAGGTTGGACTCGATGATCTCTAAGGTCCCTTCCAGCCTATGCCGTTCTATGATTCTATCTAGAATCTTTGAATCTGAATGTGTTATTTTTCATTGCCTGCTCTGAAGCATGTGCAAACAAAAGGGAAAAAAGTGTAAAAGGTCATAAATTCAGATTTAAATAATTTCAGATTTAGTTATCTCAAATTTTGCTAGTAATCCCAGCACAATATTTTAACAATTTTAGCAATTTGAAACTGTCAGTGTTTCTTTTCATATGAAAACTGAATTTTACTTCAAATCATAGGATAAAAGCGATAGCTACCGATAAGCTTATTTGTATGGTAGCTGCAACTTAAATGTATCCCGTCATGAATCTGGTATTTGTTTGATTATGAAAAGATAAATTTTGTGACTGCTTGCTACTAAGTAAATGGAAACAGAACTCTGTTGGCATTACTAGTTTCAGAGTAACTTTTGAAGGCAGGATACGTTTTGTAACTTGGCAGCTCATTGTCCAGATATCATTCAGATATCTATTCCCTTTTAATCCAGCCAGTGCACAGAGGAGGGCACAGTTCAAGCCATCTGCATGTGATGGGAAATAGCGAGAAGATGAATGAATGAGGAATTATTTGGAGAAATGCAGCTTTAGTTAATATTATTTTGTACTCGTTTACTACAAGAAGATAAGATGTTGGAATGTGGTGTGAAGGGGATAAGTCTCCATAAGAGAATATTGTGCCTGGGGAAAAGAGTGTGATTCATAATGATGGCAGCCTTTAGTTGAGGGGTAGCTGGTTTATGTTGCTGCATTACTTTACTTGGCATAAACCCAATCCAGCAAGAACATTGCAGTGGTGAAGGGTGCACAAGTCATGAAGGGGCTTTTTCACTGGTGCAGGATGCAGGTGAAACGTGGCACAGGAACAGAACAAGAAATTGGAGCGGATTTATGCCATTGCGCTCACAATCCATTGTACTTGTAGATCAGCATGAACTGGAAAAAAAAATTAAAATCCTCACTGCTAATAATGAATGCAACAGAATTAAAGTCAAAGCTGTGCAGAACAGAGTTATTAAGAACATGAAGGACTTTTGACGAGGTGGGATAAAAATTTTACTTGCATCAAATACTGCTTTTAGATGTCAGCTGAAGATAAATATGGGTGTGAGAGATGTGTGATGTGAGAGATGGTAATTCTGGGATTCTGAAGTCAATAGGGGCTGAGAGTTCTCCAGGATGCTCAAGATAGATAGGATTTTGAGGGTGCCAGAATATTCTGCTATAGCCTAGACATCCAAAATTTTAACTTGCAATTAGCATTTTGGTTACAGTTAAGTATCTGGCCTCTTTTGGGTATGTGGACATGAGTGCTTATGAGAAATTCTGTTTAAGGAGAGATTAGAATTGCAAGGACTGTTTTCTGTGGAAAATAAGAGCATATAATACAGCATAGACCATTCTGAATCATCCATGGAATGCTGGTAAAGGCATTTAATTTTATTAAGCCTGCTTGTAATGTTGAGCGTAGATTTCAGTGCAAATGCATTTCTGATAGATCTAAATACATTATTTTTACATGTGTCATTAACTTACAGAACTTTCTTCTGTGGGTTACTAATGAACACAGCTTATGAAACTTGAAGTGATTTATATAAATACTAGTAGCATCTGTGGTTATAGCTGGTAAGAGACAAATACAGGGCTTTCTATTTTCATTTTTCAGGCCATAAAATGATCATCCTCTGACTTTCAGTAACAAATGACAGTAAAGAACAACGCAGTCTGATATGGAATAGGTTTTATTGCATTCCTCTGATGAAGCTAGTTAATATATTGGAGACAAGATAATAATTCACATTCTCATTTTCTGTAATTAACGTAGCAATATTGATTAGTTTAACAAACTGTGGGTCATAAGGGGTAAAAATTAATAAAATTGCAATTCTGGGTCATAGTCCCATCTACATGTTTTCACATTTATTTATTTTGAAGTAATGGAGAAGTAACTATTTTGGTATAGTTGTAATAGGCTGAGCATTGTGAAGTAGAGAACCTTCTGTTTCTCCTGAAGACGTTTATAGATAGTAAAGTTCAACTGATGAGTTGATTTGCTACTGATCTAAGTCAGTGTTAAGTGAAGGAAGATTCATCTCCTTATGCACCTCTCTTCAGCAGCTGGGATCCAGATGTGCTGGGGACAGGAGTAGCACAAGAGCAATCCAAGGACTGCTGTGTCAGGACATGCTCTCCTGGAGTCCAGTGCTGTTTCCTCATGGGAAGTAATTTTCTTTGACATGAGGATTCCCTTCCATCACAGAGCCGTTTCCTTCGTGGGTCGTTCTGTGAGATCTGGATGAAGTGTGCAGGCACCTCTTCTCCCCTGGAGAATAAGGGCTTTGCAAATCTGGTTCCTGGACTTTTCTTTTTTTCCCCTGACTTGAGCAGAAAGGAGCTTGTCTGGAAAGCTGCACCCTGCAGTGCTCTTTTTACTTATTCCTGCCCTCCTTTTGTGATTTTTATCATCCTCATTTGTCTTATGTTGCCATTTACAGCCCAGAAAGAACTGCGTTGACTGCTTTTGTGAGACACCTCACACATGCTGAAATGCAATGGGAGAAAATAGAAAATTCCCTTCTGTTAGGCCAGTAAAGAGCAGAAAGTAATTGAAAAAGACTTGTGCTTGTGCTTCTCTCTGCTAATTTTTTTTAAAATAGGACGTTTCTGAATAATGTGCTTTGTGGTTCACTGAAGCCCAGAACAAGTACATTGTATAAGCTACTCAGAGTAAGGATTTTAAACAATGGTGCAGCAAGGAACTGTCATTCCGCTGGACTCATTGTCAGACCTGACTGTTTTTGTATTCAGTGGCAAGGTCTCTAGTCCTTTTGTCTACCTCATTCAAAATCAAGACCTTCTAAAGGACAGAAATAGTAACTAGCATATGGAGCTGGAGTGGGAATTGAGCAAAATTTATTTAGTCTGTGAAATAAAGCACTCTGAGAGGTTCATGGTATTCTGTTAACTGGGAAGCAGATCTGTGTTCTTGGAAGGTGTCATGGAGTTATGTGACATTTTCAAGCAGAAGGATGATGCTTTTATTCCTCATATAGAAGAAATGTTTGTAGAGAGAACATGCAAATTCTTTGGTTTGTGTATTCTGTTCTTCTGCAAAATATTTAAGTGAAACAGAAGAAAGCAATGTTCAGGATCTGAATACAGGGACATGGTAAAGGCATTCTTGCAAAATTCTACAAAACAGAAACTAAATGCCTTTACTCAGTAGAAATGTGACTTTTAATGCTGTGGATTTACCTCTTAACTTATTAAAATTTGATCCTGAATTTAAATAGCAACAGCCCTAGGTCATCCTTAGTGTTTTCTGGCCATGAGAAGAACTTTTTTAAATGGTTATTCCTATTGAAAGTATGTGAATATTCAAGGATGCTTAGCTATGGGTCTCTAAAATATCTATTTCCTCAGCAGTCCTACAGGGTGCATTCGCTTGTGATGGGTTGGGAGGAGACAGTAAGTGGTTCCATATGAGATGAAGCAGGATGAGCAGAGCACTTGTATTGTCTTATCACATGGAAATTTAATAGGGAATGTAGTATCAGCACAGCTAGTGTCATTTTCTGACAGAACCACTACTCAAGAGTGAAGCAGACCACCCTTTGTATAGTGGGTCTCTCTCATGGGAGTCTGAACTGTAATATGAAGAATTAAACAAGGAGACTGGTGATCTCAGAAGCAGTTTCCCCTTGGACCAGGGCTGCAGTTCTTGACTTTCCTGGAGACTAAAGAGCAGACACGGGGATCAAGTCAGTCCTACTTTCCTGACTGAAGAAACTGGAAGCTGCTTTGTGAGGAGTACCTCTGGGAGAAAGATTTCACTGTGGAGATTGGGGAAGAGCATCTGTAGTTAGAGTAGAAGACAGCTCACAAATGGCACCTTTGGAGAGAGAGCCTACTCTTCCCTCTCCTTCATCTGTGTCTGTTTGAAGTCTCACATTCTCAAAAGATCAGACAAAAGCCACATTCTTTTAAAATGCTCCTTCCTAAACTACAATTATTTCAGACCTTCCAGAGTCAATTCAATTGGTGAGAGAGGCTACCTTATGAAATCCATCCAGCAATTTACCAGCACTTGACTCCTGAAGACCTTTTCAATTCCAATCCTGTAGTGGGTTTATTTTCAGTTTGCTTTAAGCAATCAAACAAACAAACAAAAATCTTCCAAAACAAGAGTTCTGCCTCTAAAAGCACCTTCAAGGAGCTTTATAGTTTGTTCTGCTTTTAGCTATTGCTTTATATCTCAGGTGCAAGAAGATGAGTGTTGATTTCTAAGCACACTGGAAAATAAAGCAGAGCAGAGCTGGCTTCTAAATCAAGTAAATAAGTCTGTATCAGTTCTGCTGTAGAAGGGAAAACAACAATGAAGGCAGTTGTCTTCCAGGTTGTACTAAGAAAGTATTCTCTGCAGGTGGTATAAGAATAAAAATGCCATTACCTGCTGTTTAGTACCTCATTTCTTTTAATTCTGGAATCAGGCTTGCATTCATAGAGGTTTTTTTTGTAGAGAAATTAACTCTCATCTCTTGATAGAATTATTAAATACTTCAGGCTGCATTTTGCTTTCTGTGTAGTTTTGGTTTCAAGTTACAGCTGAGCTGGGAAGTGAGGCATCACAGGCTCAGCAGAAGTACAAAGGCCCAGGCTGGGGGAGTCAGCCTTCAAGTAGGTTTGCTGTATCCAGCTCAGATTGTTTGCCAATATACCAAAGCAAAATTAAATATATTTGTTTTAGTAGTAGTAGTAGTAGTAGTAACTACTTATTTAAAATACAAGACTTTTAAAATAATGTATAGTATTGCTGAGATATGCATTGGTTTTCTTAGTTTTTTATCACACAGGGATGGAGATGGAAGTTGCTCACATTTTTCCCTAC